CCCCAAAACCCCAAAACCCCGTGTAAAGATATTGCAACTCCATTAGGAGAAGATACCAAATTAATAAGAATATAATAGGCTTTGACGTAATTGAGTAATTCTTATATATGATATAAATTTTGCGATCTGTGTATCTTATTAAAGGCTTAGCAGAAAGATATCCATAAATAAAATAAAATGAGATTGACACTCGCTTTTGCTCTACTACTTATTGGCACTACCTCTGCACACTATAAAAGCAGAATTCAAAAGTTCATACATAGCTTGCCCTAAATGCAACAAGCTAAACAAGTTGAGTAGAGTTGCACATCAAATATTAAAAGATTGAACTAAGAGCTAACAAATCCAACTAATTATTAATCTATTGCAAAAAACTCAGATAAGTTTTGGAATGATACCTCATTTCCAGCAGATTCTACTTCTATATAGTGGAGTGGAAGCTATACTCAAAATAGAATCCCTTAATACTTGAACACTAAGTGGTCAAGATTGAACAATCTTTGCGACAATTGCACAATGTACGGTACTAGCGATTACTTGAATGACATAGATCAAAACGCTCTTGCAGATTGCTATTACCTTGCCGGCATTGCTGCTCTCGCTGAAGTCAATTCAAGATTTGAAAAAGTATTCGTCAACCCTGAAGTCAACTGGGCTGGTATCTACGCATTTAACGTTTTTATAAGAGGAATCCCTCATGTGATTGTTGTCGATGATGCTGTCCCAGCAGGTCTTACCTAAAAGAGGCCAATATTTGCTGGATTTGGACTAGATGGTGCAATGTGGGGTCCTCTTCTAGAAAAAGCATGGGCCAAGACAAATGTCAACTATGAAAGAATCGAAATTGGTTATCCATTTGAAGCATTCGATTTCTTATCAAATGCTCCTCATCAATATATTACTATCAGCTCTGCAAATAAAGAAGCTATTTGGTCTAAAGTTCTTGATGCAGATAATAGAAATTTCATTATGTCACTAGGAACACCATCTTCCCCAGGAGGTGATAAAGATTTATGCAATTATAGTCTTGCTTGTGGCCATGCATACTCTCTACTTTCGGTTAAAATATTGGAGAGTGCTGACAGAAAAACTTAAACTAGAGTTCTCATGCTTAGAAATCCTTGGAGAAGCGAAGGCTTATTCAATGGATCTTTAGCAGATGGTTCAGCACTCTGGTTTACATAAGGTCCAAACGGAAAAACTTGGGCAGATGAAGTAAAGCTAGTGATATCCAATGATGGCGTTTTTTACATGACTCTTGATGAGGTTATAAATTCATTCAATTACTTGAATGTTTTTGAATGGAGAGAAAACTTTGTAACATCATGGTACGATAAAAGAGATGACTAAGTATCTAGCAAAACAACTCCTTCAATATACAAATTCACTCTTACTGAATCTACTCCATTGTAAATCAGAGTTTTGCCATATCCTTCTAGAATGTATCCTGTTGTATGCAAAAATAAATAAGCTATCTTCAAGCTTATCCTTAAAGATTCAGTAGGTAAAACTCTTAACTCAATCTACTATAATGAAACAGCATATAACTATATCAGCTTAATTGACAATCCTCTAGCTGCTGGAACTTACACTTTATAATTCTACGCTGAGTGGGATATTAATGATGTGAGAGATTATGGAATTATCATTAATTCTCCAAAAGATATTGCCATTCTTGATGCTAATAACTAAATTAGCAGACCAACTAGCCACGATTTCACCAGTAAGAACCTAAAGCCAACAGTTGCTTAAGCTCCAAAACCCCCAAAACCAGAACTTCCTAGCATTGTTAGAAATAAACCTGCTTACCGTATGTCAGGCAACCTTAATGCTGATTTGGCAGGATTAAGATATTCAGAATCATTCATTATCAAGAATACTGACGGAATCCACTTATAAGGATCATAAGCTACTTTGGTTGGTAAGAGATATGAAATCGTTTATTTCCAAGGAACTTAATCTGAGGAACACAACTACAATGCAACTGTTTCAATCATAACTTCACCAGGCTACTCCTACATTTTTACTCAAGGCAATGATAAATGCTCTGCTACAAAAAATGCAGCCACTGGAGAAGAGACTATTCAATGCAAATGCAATATTGCTTATGACTAATACCCTAAAGAATGTATGCTTGCTCTTCTAACCATAGAAGGAGCTGGATACAAAACATCATTCACATATAAATATGTGTCAGTAGTCTGAAGACTAACTTAAATTATTTACTTATTTATACACAGAAGCATTAAGCTTATTACGTTTACTTTATTTATTTCTTTAATAGACTTTCCCTTAACACATTTTTTATAATTCATAAATATTTTACCTGGAAAACACTTGTGAAATAAATTTATTGGGGTTTTGGGGTTTTGGGGGCAACATTGATATTTATATGTGA